GGAATGAGTGTGGTAGTTGTGCAGGGAATCAAGGTAGGGGAGCTAGGTTCACTGTTGACCTTTGGTCAAGAATTTTATATTGTGTAGCACCTGATATGATTAGATAGCAGAGGAGTGAAGAGTGGTTAGTTTATTGCTGAGGAGTGAATTGTGTTCTATCTTTGTTTCTGTACCCAAACTTGCAAGCAACTGGCGATTTGAAGCTCAGCGGAGATCACTCAGTGCTGAATGTGCCTGGTCATCAGATTCCGGTGCTTTTGAGGAGGGGGAAGTATAGCAGTGGGCCTACGTGGGGTTCTAAGGGAAGGACGCGGAGAAATAGAATGGCACGGCACCCTTCCAGCCTAAGGCCCATCCCAAGGGTGACTGGCAGTGGGACTAAGATGGAGAACCCCTTTCCGTCATTGGTATTGTGCAATGCCAGGTCGATCAACAACAAAGCTGCTGTCCTTCGGGACTTTGTAATCGATCAACAAGCTGACCTGGCATGCGTGACTGAGACCTGGGTGAGGGAGGGGGAGACAGTAGCTCTTGCCCAGCTGGCCCCACCTGGGTTCTCGGACCTTCACCAATCACGGACGAAGGGGCAGGGGGGAGGAGTGGCTATGTTCATTCGGGAGGCTTACTGCTTCAGGGCGCTTCCGGCTGTGGAGATCGCGGGCATAGAGTGTGTCGGAGCGATGCTGGAGGCTGAGGAGAGTTTGGCGATTTGGGTGGTGTACCAACCGCCTAGCGCACCGGCCAATAGCCTGCCGTCCCTGGTGGAGGCCGTATCAGGCTGGGCGTTGGAGCACCCTAGGCTGTTGGTCATGGGTGATTTCAGCGTCCATGCCGAGGACGCGACCTCCAGCCGGGCTGTGGACCTAGTGTCGTCCATGGCGGCGCTGGGACTCTCGCAATTTATCACGGCCCCCACGCATCGGGCCAGTCACATGCTCAATCTGATCTTCACGGCTGGGATAGGGGTGAACAGGATTACTACAATAGCAGTACCATGGTTGGACCACCGGGCCCTGAAGGCCCGTCTGAATGTGCCACCCGAACCCCGCTTAGGCGGTGAGCAGATTTTTGCTCGCCTGCGAGGCCAAATGGATCCAATGCAGCTCCAGATGGCGTTGCGGGATCCGAAGCCCCCTGGCAGCTCGTTGGATGAGCTAGTGGAGGACTGGCATGACCGGCTCTCCACGGCCATCGATGAGATTGCTCCCAGGCGTCCTTTCCGGACTCGTGTTAGGCGAGCGCCCTGGTATACCCAGGAGCTGCGCCAGCTGAAGCGAGAACTGAGATGACTAGAGAGACAGTGGCGCCGCACTTGCGACGAGGCTTCAAGAACATCCTATAGGACGTTTATGAGATCCTATGAGATGGCAGTCAAGGCCACAATTCAGTCGTTGACAGCTCTGCCACAGGGCAGGCAAAACATGAGGGAATTGGACATCGGCTGTGAGGCATTTGCGATCTACTTTGCAGAGAAAGTCTTGGCGCTCCACCGTGATCTCCCCACCACAATTGATACAGTTAGTGAACTTGAGGCCCATTGCATGTCTTTGGGGCCGGGTTCAGTGTGTTTTTGCCCGCTCAGTCTGGAAGAAGTTGACAGATTGCTTGTGTCCATGTGCCCAACCACATGCGACCTTGATCCGTGCCCCTCTTGGCTCATTAAAACGGGTTGAGAGGGGTTTCGAGGTGCCCTGCGGGAGATTATTAAGAAGTCTCTCTTGGAGGGACAGTTCCCCAGGGCACTCAAGGAAGCGATGGTCCGCCCTCTCTTGAAAAAAGAGTAGATTTGCGATCTACTTTGCAGAGAAAGTCTTGGCGCTCCACCGTGATCTCCCCACCACAATTGATACAGTTAGTGAACTTGAGGCCCATTGCATGTCTTTGGGGCCGGGTTCAGTGTGTTTTTGCCCGCTCAGTCTGGAAGAAGTTGACAGATTGCTTGTGTCCGTGCGCCCAACCACATGCGACCTTGATCCGTTCCCCTCTTGGCTCATTAAAACGGGTCGAGAGGGGTTTCGAGGTGCCCTGCGGGAGATTATTAAGAAGTCTCTCTTGGAGGGACAGTTCCCCAGGGCACTCAAGGAAGCGATGGTCCGCCCTTTCTTGAAAAAACCATCTCTGGATCCGGCTGAATTGGCCAACTATCGGCCGGTGTCCAATTTGCCCTATTTGGGCAAACTTATTGAGAGAGCGGTGGCGACACAGATGCAGGGCTTTCTGGATGACACTTCTGTCCTCGATCCCTTCCAGTCCGGCTTTTGCCCTGGTCACGGAGTGGAGACTGTACTGGTCGCTCTGACTGACGACCTCCATAGGCATCTGAATCGAGGTGGTGTGGTGGCACTGTTGTTGCTAGATCTGTCGGCCACATTTGATACGGTCGACCATCAGTTGCTGACCCACCGCCTCGCCGACGTGGGAATTCAGGGGCTTGCCCTTCAATGGCTGGCATCTTTTCTTCAGGGTCGGGGACAAAGGGTGGCGATAGGGGATCAGCGGTCCCGGAGGTGGCCCCTCGAATGTGGGGTACCTCAGGGGGCAGTGCTATCCCCGATGTTGTTTAACATCTACATGCACCCCCTTGCCCAGATTGCCTGGAGTTGTGGGCTTGGGTGTCATCAATATGCACATGACACCCAGCTCTATCTGATGTTGGGCGGCCGGTCAGACTCCACCCCAGATGACCTTCATCGGGCACTACAGGCCGTGGCTTGTTGGCTCAGACTGAGTCAGCTGAAATTAAACCCGGCAAAGACGGAGGTCCTGGGCTTGAGTCGGGCTGGTCTGGGGTTGGGGCTCCCTCTCCTGACCTTTGACGGGGCACCATTGGTGCCAGCGTCGGAGGTTAGGAGTTTGGGTGTGCTCCTGGACTCCTCGTTAATGATGGAGGCCCAGGTGGCAGCCACTGCCAAGTCAGCTTTTTACCATCTGCGGCTTGTGCGGCAGTTGGTCCCCTTTCTCGACCACAATGACCTGGCCACAGTGATCCATGCAACGGTCACCTCGAGGCTAGACTACTGTAACGCTCTCTACATGGGGCTGCCTCTGTCGCAAATTCGGAAGCTGCAACTAGTGCAGAATGCTGCAGCCAGGCTGTTGATGGGTCTTCCTAGACGAGATCACATCCAGCCTGTGCTCAAAGTGCTGCACTGGTTGCCAATAGCATACCGGATTCGTTTCAAAGTGCTGGTTATTACCTTTAAAGCCCTATATGGCCAGGGACCGGCCTACCTGAGGGACC